TCCTACTCTCGTTCATTTTACAGACTCCTCACATTTGTACCCCCTTCACTTCTAATGTATAGGTTTATATCTTCCCAAACAACGTATTGATTGATTAAAACTTCCTTTTTCATAACATCAAGTATTGAGGTACATCGAGCTTCCTATACCGATTTTCATTTTGGATCACGACCATAATAATGTACGTGTACAATTCGAACAATTTAAACGTTATACGCATAAGGTTTATAGCCTTCATTGAACCTTGTATAATTATGATTGTCCCATTCCATTTTTAACAAATTTCGGGTGCCCGCAAGGCCGGGGGATCTGTTGTTGGGGATAGAATTAGATACGAGTGACTTGTAAGTGTACTCAAAGTGTACTTTGTATCAAACTCGAGTGGAGATCGCAAAGACAAACACACGTTAGAATTAATATAATCATGTCAGTCATAATAATCACACGATTGTGAATTTGCAAAGCTAAACAGTGGTAAACATACGACATTAGACAACAGTTACTACGTACAATGTAGGCCAAATCCTCTACACCATTATTCAATATTCCGAACGAGCAAAGAGTTTGACAACTAGATTTTTGCCATAATTGTCTGAAATTTAAATCAGATTATCTTGCTATTAATATAGGGATGTAATATGGCCTATATTCTTTTTAAGTAATTGGTGTAGCTATATAGAGAGGCCTTGAGGGTATGCGTCCTCAATCGAATGATGAATAAAATAAAAGATAGTATGAAAAGTGAGAAAAATAAAGGATGAAATTGAATATGACGAGGAGAGAAAACGCCTTGATCATCCCTTATCCTCCTAATCAGGATCCCTGTATATAAATTCGCATTTCATTTTTCAGGAGCGTTAATGCTCCCAATCGTTTAAATGTACGTGCCCCCTCATCGTTGGTAAACTTGCAATGTATGGGTAATGTAAACGTATACATTGCAAATGTTAATTGACAAGTTTGTGTTTAAACTCTGTTGCGGCACTTCTCTGCGCCCATCATGTTTACCAGTTTCTTTAATTCTATATAAGAACAAGAGAAAAATCGATGTTTAATTCCCAAAATAAAATTTACAGAAGTGCTCAATACAAATACAAACAAATAAATTAATTGTCACAATTTGCCAAAGTTTGTGTTGAATGCTGAGCTAATAAAAGGCAGTCCACATTTTGAGTAGGCTATTTTGTATATATACACAATGAATTTAATATGAAGCTTTAATTAGGTGTATCTCTCATGATAAACATATACACGACCCAATTTTTAGTAATGTGATTATGTTAAAAATTTCCGCAAAATTTCAGAGTCAGATCGTATTTCACGCTTGCCGATGAAACTAAAAACCGCAGAAGGAAATAAATTCTGAAGTTTACCTACAACATTTCAAAATTTGCAATGCGACGCATAGAACTGCATATAGTACTGAGAAGGATTTACACATACAGCAAGGAAATGGAGACGTCTGCATTGTAAAAAAAGGAAACTTGTCAGATATCACCAAGATCTGTACTTGCGTGCGTATAAACATGCTATCGGGGAATACCCTTTAACGAACCATAGTTCCCGAAATACAGTACTCATGCAAAATTATGTTAATATTCACTGATTGTCTCACTCAGTCGGAGTCCATATTAAGTGTAGACAAGTCTGAGAGTGAGCACGAACTGGAACAGGTGTAAAAGGTCCCCGGTAAATTATTAGGGAAATATTGAACCCGTGGCGGATTTAAGGAAAGGGGGGGGGGGGGCAACTAGCCCATGCTTCTTTAATATTCTGTGCCGGTCCTCTCCTTTAACAACATGCTGAATCCACCCCTACTCTTAAAAATATCTCGCACCAGGAAGAGATGATTCTGTCTTTAGCTGGAGTCCGTATATGTTATTTAATCTTTCTTTCTGTTTCCTCCTCATCCTCCTACTTCTTCGTCTTCTTCTAATCTTCAAAGGGCTAATGCAGCGCCTATCACAAAGACTGCATGTGGTGTGAGGAAGATAATGAGATTGAATATTAAATGCCGTAGGATCGTCCCTGAAAGTTCCTTGGACTGTCGGCATGCAATACAGGGATCGTAATGCAACGTACGGGCAGAACCATCTTCAATGAGTCTTTGGATATTTAATACTGACTTTCCCCTAGTGAACTATTTACTATAAAGCCTTTATCTATTACGTTTTCATTAACGGATCTTTATATCATTTAACAATCCGGCAGCACACTCACTTCGCGAAAGCAATATAGGCCTATCAAATTATGTAGGTCTCTGTTGGTTTGTTTTCGAACTTGGTTTCGAACCCGGGACCTTCCGATTACGAGACCTCTGATCTACCACTGATGAGCCATCGCTCCTCTTTTTAAGTTTTTTGTAAAAATACACTTTTTATATGCTGTTTCATAAAAACATTTCTAGGGAAAATGTCAATTGTGAGAAAGGCTGAGAAAACATTTATTTTTGAAAACTTTATTTTAATAACGAATTGTTAACGATGGTTAAAGATAATATGTCCCTTTTGCAGCCAACATCAAATTCTGTTAACTTTGCAGGAATTATGAATATGTAATGTATGTCCTATCTGTGAAATGTAAACGTTAGCAGTGTCCTAATATTCAAATCACTTCTTTGGCAGCATTATTAAGTATTGAGTTTAGCTAGGCCTACACACACAACATAACATATTTACTTGTATTGTGTTCGGGGCTTCATTCCAGTAGACGGACGGATATATATACAAGATCATATACAAGATCGACAATCGATATTCCTGAATATTTTAACTGAATCTTCACGAGACCGATACTTCGCGAGACCGACAACGAGCCTCCTGAGTTTCATCGAAGGCTTCTTTACAAGACAACAACATCCGAGACCACAGGACTTTCGGTCTCGTTGGGTGCCGGTCTACTGGGATGCCTCGGTATTTGGGCCTACACAGTCTCAATTAATATTCTACAAACAAGAAGAAACAAGAAGAAACATATAAGCTTATGAAGCATTTATTTACATATAATGAGCAATAACGACAACGCGTTCTGAAGCCTATTCCCATTTACAGAATCTACAGAATAATGATGAATATTCACATATACAAGTATAAGGCCTACCAAATGTTATCTGAGATAAGATGTTAGTGAAAACGCATTTATAATCACCGATACGTGTACACCACAAATAAACATTTTTGTTCAACATTGTGTTAGCTACTTGAGTGTGCATGCGAAATATCAACATCGACTATAAATATAAAGAATTACGGACCGTTAATTTGTTTTGGTTGTTATAAGCGTTTTGGAAGCTGAAAGGAAGAAACATTTCAAGTACATAGAAGAGTTTGATTATAATGAATATTCCTAACAGAAAACAAATTATTTACATAGTCCTTTATTAAAATGCAGCATAGAGCTTTCAAAAATGCATATATACATACATTTTGCCCGACATGATTCTCAGTGTTTGGGTAATATTATAGTATTAATGACTGCTTTGAGAGAAATAGTTGTTTTTATACGCTCAAGGGAAGGTTAGAATTGTGCTATTGCCCGAGGCGTGCCGAGGGCAATAGCCCAATTGTAACCTTCCCGAGAGCGTATAAAAACAACTATTTCTCGAATATTAAAGCAGTCATTAATACTTTTATATGCCGAGAAAAAGTCCACTTATGACACCCTTCTTGGCCTTTTTTCTTTTCATGAGTGTATCTTTGAGAGTAGACTAAAAAATAATATTTTTTTTTTGTTTTTTTTTGTCAAAGATGGGATTCGATCTCTTGCGTACCAACGATGATGTGACTAAAATCACAACCTTAGACCGCTCGGCTATCGCGCACTCATACCATATCTAGCAGTTTTCTCTGATATATACATTAAAATGGATTGAAATCGGCTTCGCGTGCTGAATGCTTCGCCGTAGCTCCATTAAACGGGCCCTTCTTTTACTTTTGCAATGCATTGGCACGAACTTAGATCAAGATCTATCGGCAGATGTTGTTTTTGGAAGTTTATTTTCGTCTTCATGTCAACAATGCAAGATAAAATTGTCGGTAAGATCGATCGAGATTCAATTGTATTGAAATTACCGACCAATTCATCGCACACGTACGGTATCCTCGATCGCTCAGACCATTTTTTAACATGTATACCTATGGGTGTTTCACCAAGACTGAACTACTTTCCCGGTAACCATGGTTACTGGGATTTTAGAACTATTTTTTAAAACTATTACATGGGTTTGGAATTTTACCGGGAATTTTACAGGAATAGTTGAAGTTTATGAATGCAATTTCGACCAATCAGATGGCTGGATTTCTTAAGTGAGGTATATAATTGTTGTTCTTCTCGTTACCCCCTTTTCCCATTTCTCAATTAGTGATGAAGCGCCCCCATCCCGCATGACCCGCCAATGTGCAATGTACGAAATGAATGCAAATTCGCTTTAGATGCAAATATAATAGTGTCGATAAGACTTCAAACTTGTCCATAATATAGAAATTTTAAATACACACAATTTGTATATTATATACAGCAAGTCAACATATTCAACTAAATTGTGCTTTTGAAATGATATTTGCTACTACTTCTGGTCTCAAAATTAATAAGTGATATTTTATATTAAATATTATGAACAATACACATCAATAGAATTCTAAATATGATACTTTATACACTTGTGTTGTAGGTGCAAATTTGCTCAGGTGCTTCGGAATTATTGCACCACCGTACATTCCACGGATGACCAATGGGCGTGAGAAATAAAAACTTTTTTTTGTGGACAAGCTGACCTTACTTTAAAAGCTTGAGGAGATAATGAATACTTTACTTTACACGTCATTCTGTAGATTTACAAAGAACCTATATTTTGTTATGACATGGTATAATGATGAACATCACTTCAATTGAATGAGCTACTTACAAAAGAGGAACACTTTCTTGGGTATAATGTACATGACTTTGTATAAGATTGATAACAACAATGTCTGTCCGTTTGCGGACCCTAAATACGTTTCCAGTTATTTCAAGAATTTCACATCCTCATCTCATAAAAATACATCCCTTACCATGCGAAAGGAACATCGCGTATATACACTACAGCCTGGGATTATGCTATCTACACTCTATGGCTTGTAAAACTACCCAATTTTATAGTAACTATAAAATAACAATATAACCTCAAAGACAAGATATAGACAGTTACAAGGGGGCAATAACATTAAGGATAGGGGGTGGGAGGGAGGGGTAGGGTGTACTGGAAGGGGGCTGATCGAAGATAACACTATATTATTATGACACAGCTCATAATTTCCTCTCTAGTCCCACGCTGATGTAATGGGCCTCAATCTTCATCGAAGTTCACTGACGGATCAGGCGATAGAAAAACCTGTAAAATGCCCCTACAATTATTCTGCGGCAGGACAGTGCCCCTTCAAAGAAAGACTTGAACTCGTCCAGCTGTACATCGGTCAGTTGAGTCGAGCCACCCCATGCAGCAAGTTGACCCAGTGTCAGCACCAGTGACGTCATATTGAATGTGGACTTGTTGGTTTTGCTATAAGTTTCAAGCGCTTCCAGCGAAAGACCTAGTTTGTAGTCGTGCACAATGACAGCTACTTTTTTCTTTCCTATTTGATAATAGAGGTAGAAAAAACATGGCTTTATTGGTAGCAGGGTTATTATTTCCTTCATTTTTTGTTTAGATTGAAGGGCTACTCCCTTGCGAAGGTATTTGCTCTCTATTAGTATTACTGCAGACACGTTGTATTTTTTTCCTCATAATTCGAGGGAAAAACGATCCCATCAGATTTTTTTCTTGGGGAGGTAACCCTTCGGTCGAACCAGACAGGGGCGGATCCAGTCGGCGGCGATGGTGGGGGCCCAATTCGTGTGAGAAAAAAAATAAAAAAGGTAAGATATCATCTTTTTTTTCCTTCTTTTTTTTCCTTCTTCTTTCGCAGGTAAAATTGTCGTTACCATCTTGTTTCAAAACTTTTTTGGGGCCAGGGTTGGGGGTCCGAGCCCCAATGCCCCACACTGGAACCAGATAACAATTTATTGAGGCCTTAGATGTATGTCGGACCATGTTCATTATTAATGAAGAAGAAGAAAATGAACAAGAAAAACAAAAATATCAAAATATCTTTACAAGGAATAAAATGAGAAAAAACACAGATGAGCTCGAGAAAACCTTACCCAAGCACCTCTTTGCCTTGTACAAGAACTTGTGATAGATTGAGTTGGATCCGAGTTCGGAGCAAAAGGGTCCCTTGATATCCATAGAATGACACAGAAGCAAGGCGTCAATTCCACGGAATTCGAATTCCTTCATGTCTGCCATGTTGTAGGGAAGAGGCATGAACATCAAGTCCGCTGGCTCTACCACGTCTGGCATATTCTCGGTGATATGTCGGATAAGACCTTGCACGCTGTCTTCCCCAGAATTGCTGCAGACAGCAATGCTCAATCGATTCTGTATGCAATGAGATATAAGATGGAAAAAATAAGATATTATATAGAATCATGATTGCCACATGATCATATCACTGCACTTTTCAAACGCATTAAGATACAAAGACGAGTTTTTGTTTAAATAAACACCGCTTTTTGTTGGTTTGTTCTTCTATAAACAGTAACAACAACAACAACAAATTAAAGCCCCAGAGACATTGTGTTATCAATTTTATTTATGATGTCATGTTGTCATTGTTTTTATGCTGATTTTACTTAGTCTTGTATTTTATTTAAATGATTCGTTATTTATTCATCACGATACCAGTCAGGTAACAATATCTAACCTCTCTCTCTCTCTCTCTCTATCTCCTTTCCTCTGAAACGATAATTCCAAAATAATGTGTTTGTTTTAATATTATATTAGGTGACCAACTTGTCATGCAGTTGATTATATCATACTCAAAAATATAATATATTGTTTGAATTGACACGCATAATTATAAAAAGCATCGCTGCCTAATTTTTTTTCTAGAAAAATCGCTTATTTACTACTTTATTATATTTTATGAAGGTTAGATGCCTATTTTGTTTACATATGTATTGATATTCTATTTAAAAAACGAGGTATGAAGGTCAATCTTTAAAGGGAAATCTGAGTAGCATAGTCGCGACGGTAATGTATTGACATTTTTTCACATTTCAAATCAACTATTTTGTATTTCGTTTTATTAATTTCTTATGTATTCTATTGTTTTTATTTCCTATGTACTTCTTTGTTTTTATGATTCGTTATGCTACAGAAATGTACCTTGATGAATTTCAAGTCATACGAAATCAAGATAAGGCATAAAAAACACAGTTGGCATGCAGTGTAATAGTGCAATTAAGGAAAAGCAGTATTTTTGTACACCGTAACATTTGTAATATTCACGTGACTACGAAACTTTGCGTGATCTCGTCCGATTTTCGCAATATTATAGTCTCGAAAGTCGCGGGACACTTGAAAGGCGATTAAAGTTGCGATCCGCAACTTTAATTCTTCAAAATATCACGATTGAATGAAAGTATCAGTTGGGCTAGCTTACCTTTGATTGTTTACAACCCATTTTAATCGACGTGTGAGTATATAAAGCGTAAAAACGTTCAAATTCACGTTACTGCAAAACAAGATGTGAATTGATCAGAATCTCGGACTCAGACAGTCTCCAAATATCCCATCTGCATCTAGCTGTTCCAGGACACATGTACGAACTCCAAGTTTATACAAAATAACTGTTTGGTAAGAGAATAGAATCGTATCATATCCCGCACGCAATCTACATCACATGATGATGATGATGATGTTCTTTGTGTTGATTATTGATCTTTCTCAGCGACGGCCCGATAAATTCTCCTCCATATAATTCATGCACCCTCCAAATATCCCATCTGCATGCATCTGTTCCATGCAATGAACACCAAGTAAAAATAAATAAAAAAACGTTTCACATCACATGATGTACTTCTAATTTGTTGATTATTGATCTTTCTGGAGCGACACGACGCGACGGTCCGATAAATTCTACTGCCCTGGGAATACTTCCGCTCTGCCCGTATGTCGCGTCTCCGTCAACAGATCTCTATATGTCTTGCAGTGCTCTGAGCATTATAATTTATGCGCGGGCGCAATACTCGGGGAATCCCCACCGACTAGACATTACGTCATGCAACAACAATCCAAATCATCCCGCTCGGGCTGATCATGTGAACATTGTGTGATATCGAGCACCATAAAACCATGAACCTACGTATAGCAACAAAGATAGAGCAGTGGCGAATCGGTGGGATGAGGGGCGAAAAAGTACTCATCGAGTTGTCATATAGACATTGACAACTATAAAGCTGTGGCCTGGCGGCTAATTCACATGTTTTCTCAATGATTTTTCTGATGACTTTTTTGCTGTTGCTAGCCTGTCCTCAACGGCACAGAATGTAATTCGTTTTACTCATCAAATTCAATATTCACAATGCTCAAATTATTTCTATAGTCATGTGAGACTAAATTATTGTTGAGCAACAATAATGTGTATGTGCACAAGGGTATACAATAGGCCTATGAATATTCTGCATATAGGAGAATGCATGTTGCAGTGCATTTTTCTCCATAACATTATAGTCCATTGTAACCATCCAAAGTGGTGCATTCTAATATCGGAGATTGTGGTTCATGTGAAAGTGAAATAATGTTCCTGCTGTTCAGGATATGAGAGAATAATCATCACAAAGGGAAACCAACCTTTCTCAGATGGTCAAATTGGGTAATAACAAGAAAATCAGAGAAGGGGGGGGGGGAGGGTTGCTGAAAGTTGGAACAATATCTGACAACCACTATCAAACACAGAAAGGAATGCATGTTTAATTGGTGTGATCACATTATGTATGTGAATCGGTAAGTTGAGTGCGACTGAAAGGGATAACTCTTGCGATCGATCGCAACTTATTTGTGATGGATATCAATCGCAACTATAGTTGCATAAGAGAAAAGAGACCGCAAACTTGTGTTCAATTAGAGGACTAATTGTGATTGATTTGGATCAATCGCAACTCTTTATTCGACGAGGCCCTGATTGAACAATTCATGTTTTCATAGTCCTAATGTCCAAGTTATAAAAAGTTTCCATTAAATCAAAATATCATCCATTCCAGTTTCAGCAAATTTTCCTTCAGGATCAACTAAAGTATTATGCTTTAGATTCTCCCAAAACCAAAGCTCCTCCCCAGTTATAACGTTCTAAAAAATATATAGGCCTTAACAACATTTTTTCAGTCGTTTTTAGTTAATTCCTAATGTGACAGTTTGTCTACAATGTAGTACATTTTTCTTAAATTATTAATTTCTAATATGAAATTCCCATATAATGATTTCAAATTAAAAACTTAGCTTTCCTACTTTTTTTCTCTGATTTCATTCATATCTTGATTTTTCTCCCTTCCTTCCAAGCAACTTACTGCAAGGCTTAGATTGCCCTGTAAGGTTATTATAGAAAGAAACAGAAGATCAAAATGGCAACCTGTTACAGAGAAAAGTAGTATAGGCTAATTACCAATACGAGGACTATAAAATCTTTGCAGAAGAAGAAAATAACACGGCACAATCTTACTTTGATATCATGTTCTTTCTTTATTTTCAAATGGATTGTCTACCATGATTAAATAATTCGATAAAGAAACATTATCAATTAGAAAATATTATTATGTATTCATATTATACATATACATTTATCCATAGGCCTACCTATTCATATCATACATAATTATATAATCAACAGTATTCATTCACCTTCCACATATATTCAACTTTATTTCTAGAAAAGTAAATAATCCCATGCATTCTTTGTTAAGAGCACTGTCTCCATGCAAATGTATAAATAAAACTACATAGTCCAACTAACGATTGCCATTTTGTTCATATGCAAATAATCGTATCACAAAGTACTAAAGGAAATGCTAAATACAGAGATATATTAAATGCATATTTTACCTTGAAGAACACTGAATTTATTTCGTTGCAATATATACAAATGTACACTTACAACATACAACACGTATGCAGCTGCGTAATAATGGAAAGAAATATGGACAAAATTTCCGATTCGGGAATCTTTTTTGGTAATGCTATCACAGCTCCAATTACAAAGAGAGAAGAAGATCACAGCTTGGCCCTGTTTCATGCACCTAGTTTCATGTATGAAGATCACTTGCCACAATTCTATACCAAATTTGCTTCCAGCTAATGAACTTTGCTGATTTTAGTAGCTTTTATCAATTTCGAAGCTTGTCACCGATGACATGTACATGTAGCTAGTTGCATGAAACAGGGCCCAGCTGTGAATTATCTTTCTTTTATAACGAAGGATACTGGGGTCTCCTGCAAAAAGAGCTACCTCTATCAAAGTTGAAACACAACCCTAAAATTAAACGCAAGCTATTTTTTCATCCAATCATGAACTGAATATTGAAGATTTGCTTTAAAATGTTAATCAATCCCACTTACACCAAACTTTTTTTTTTATATACAGAAGGCTCCTGATGTTCATTTCAGTCATGTAAAAAAAGTTTAGATGATACAATGGGATTCAATGTAGTAACAAAAAAAAAAATTTCTTTTTGCTTCATTATGAATTTCTCTTCTGTTCACCTCGTGAATTTCAGTATGCATGAACATAATCACAATGCATTTAATTATATCATAATATGCTTATCATATTCTTTAAAATAAACAAGGGAAACGCTCTCAGTGGTCTCGCCTGCATTACGCAATTCGATATGATGAAAAATTGAGGTTGGGACATTATCTATAGGCAGGGTGGCCCATTAGCAGGCCCAACAAAATGAAATCATGTGAATATGATCAGCATTTTGAAATGTATATTGACTAAAAATCATCAGAAAAATTATTTACTATAATTTGTACCACGATTGATAACTGTAACGGAATATGAACAAATAACAAAAATTGTTTTATTAATTCTCATTTTAAGTCTACTGACCTAAAATTACCTTTGACCTTGACTTTGTGACCTGGAATTTATGTCATATGATTTGTGATACTTGATAACCCTTGTGTACAAGTTTCATGGAATTTGAATAAACGCTTTTGAAATTATGTTAAAAGTTTAAATTCTTGATGTTGATGCCAGAGCAAAGTCTAAGTTTGCAGACCTGAAATTACATTTGACCTTGACTTTGTCACTTAAAAGACTAATCACATGATTGGTCATACTTGATAACCCCTATGTTCAAGTTTCGTGGAATAGGAATGTATACTTTCAAAAGTATAACAGTTCAAAATCTTAACCTTTGGGTAAGTTTTGATTTCGATGCCACAACATAATCTAAGTTTGTTGACCTGAAATGACCTTTGACCTTAACTTAGTGACCTGAAATTCTCATCACATGATTGGGGATACTTGATAACTCTTTAGTCCAAGTTTCATTGAAAAGGAACTTATACTTTTAAAATTATAATAAAAATTCAAAAACTTAACCTTGGGTTAAGTTTTTGATGTTGACGCCGCCGTCACCACCACCGCCGTCACCGGAAAAACGGCGCCTATGTCTCGCTTTGGCTACGCAGACAAGACAAAAACGTTTTCTTCTTGAAATTATGGTGTTCTCATGCAACACTTACAATTGTTTTCAGAACAGGAGATTTACATACCGGTAGTTATTTAATGATTTAATTAGAACAAATAACATTTCAAAGTACACTCTCAAATCTATCATACAAGTTTTCAGTCTGTTTTCCTATTTACCTGTATAATGAGAGAAAAGTAAAAAGTCAAAATGTGTGAAAGAAAAATCCATCATTATTGCATATACACAGCAGCATATTTCATATGAAAGCTGGTACATGTATATTCGATCCTGAGTCATGTCATTAGGTAGGTGACATCAAACGTCAGTCCCAAGACTAAAGTAATATATGTCTACATGTACATCTCATATAATAACAATAATAGTAATGATAGTGGAATCTTGTACTGTAACAGTGCTTTTATTTCTATGTTACAAAACCACATACACTTTATTCGAATAAGAGGAGGAAGCCCCAGGGTATTGTAACGAACCAGTTCGCCACAATTTAAGTTATCTTGCAGAAAACGTATAGGGCGCAGTAAGCTTTTGGGGCCTAAGGGCTCAGAGCGCGATTACGGACGCACCATGCGTAAAGCAGCTCTCAGAGCGTCTCAGAGGCTATAAATACCAGTATTTCACGGCAGTTTCGTCACTTCGACGCTGGCTCTCGTCTTGGTCAGATAGCGAACTATCCGCTTTGCTCCAACTGAGCTAAAATAAGGAAAAGGATTGGAAGCGAGAAATAGAGTTCCTACAAAAGGCAATCCCTGCCTTTACTACTTGTTGAGATTAATCCAGGTAATTGGCACCGACATGTCGGTGTTAACTATGATAACGTGTTGGAGAAGTTGACTTAATATGTTTGTATTATTAAAGTATACAGTTAAACAATCCATCGTTTCATAACGTGTTATTAGTTGAGTCTCCATAGACTGACGTAATATAACCCTCTCATAGAGAATACACATCCGGCTATCCAAAACACCTCTATTCTCCACACTCATATACTTTGGGAAAACGGAGCCACGTCAGGGCCTCTAAACTACAAGCCAAATAGAAACCGCTCGCATTAGTCAGGATGGCAAATTCCTCGCCAGATGACGGTGATAGAGGCAAGGGACAGGTCGGCCCTCCAGCATCCAGGACCCGTTCTAAGATGGAGGGCCGTAACAGTATTAATCCACCTGCACAAGTATAACCCAATCAGTTTAACCGAGAGAAGAGACATATATATATATATATATATATAGAAGCCATTCTATGAATTCCCCAACCCTCCAGCTCATTACATTCCACTTATATTGTTCCTCGTTTGTTCTACTTCATTCATCACACGTGAAAGCATAAGATGAAAGATGAATAATGATAGTTTATATGTGAGACACACATATCAAAAATTAGTGATGATGATTATTATGCATTTTTTTCTGAGTGTTATTATTTTTTGGGGGGTCGCATCAAATCGTCTCGCGTGCCGCGTGCGACAGACATTACAGACTGAAGGTATAGGGTCCAAACACATAAAATAACAATTTATTAACTTTAAGTAAATATCCACAAAAACAATCCTCTTAAAAATCAAATCAATATCATATTCAAAGAGAACATATAGACAGATAACCCAGCATACAAAACAATTAAACAGCATAAAGATATGTTGAGAGAATGCATGGTTAATGATATTATACACAATGCACTTAATTTATATCTCTTAAAATGGCGCTTTATAGATGAATCTTGTTTTAGCATAATCATTATCATGATTACTATTACTATTATCTTTATTATTATTATAATCATCATAATCATTATCATAATTATTTTCAATGTTATTTTCATTATTATTATCTTCATTATCACAATTATCATCATCATTATAAATTATTATTATTATCATTGATATCATTGCAATTACTATTATTATCATTATTATTAGTATTATTATTATTATTATTATTATTATTATTATTGTTATCATTAATTACTACTACATGATTATGACAATTACATGATACAAATTCCATTATGCATTTGCAGCGCAAATTTAAGGGGTAACAATATAAAGCGCTTTGAGAGGGCCTGCAGTCCTGAAGAGCGCTATAAGAATGAGCTAATATTACTATTATTTGTTTTTGTCAAGTCTGCGAAAGCTGTATAAAAACTACTAAAACAATGTACTTTATCTTACTTTGCAACAAATCTACTACGCTAAGAAAATCATAAGCACTTTTAGCAGACTGAGGTAAATGAAATCTAAAAATATCCGATACATGCGTGCAGGCTGAGAGCTACATCTTTCAGGATAACCGATTGTGATATACATACCACTCCATGTTGATCTTTTCTCGGGTCCTAGTATATTTGCACATTAATTCGAGTACAATTGGAGCTTAGTTCAGACATTTGAATAGAGTTGGATGTCTGGGTTGAGAAAAAGTCCTTAACAGAGCTTGCACTTGTAAATTTGGACATTATTTTAGGGTCCATTTCTCCAGCATAGACTATACCAATTGGATATCCTTTCCAAAGCTTTTCGATGGATGGATGACCGACAAGTAGCTTGCTGGAATAAGCAACACACGGGCCATTCTCAGAATAAAAGAAATGAATGTATATGCCAAAGGCAAAGGTATTGCTCCGGTGTTTTATCATGAACTCAACGCTTTGGATGTGTTGTTCCAATATTGGCAGTCTATAATACTTAGCTTCTTTTCGTAGCTGCTGAAGCTCACTCGATGTGATGTCATTGAGGATTCCTCCACGTACTAGGTAGTCAGCAATATGATGGAAGAGACTATTGTTCCTACTGATGACGTAGTTGCCTTGCGTGTCTTTTGGAACTGGCTTCCCTCCATCCAACATGTCGGTGAAGAAAGATTCTTTTTCTCTCATCAACGCCTCTCTGGTCATCATATACGTGCTCCTGGTGCCACCCGTACCGACCGCAATCCCCACTTCAATACGTGCCGACATACCTGCAGCTTCTCTTAAAGCCAATTCTTTAAGCGCCTCGAGCAAAAAGAAGCCTGCTTCACGTTCCAGTAAATCGAACTCGTTAAATCCCCGTGGTAGCACAAGTTCGCCACACCTCATGAAATTCAGGACATGGCGAAATATCTCGCCGTCTCGGTCAATCAGGTAGTTTCCTTGGGCATCTCTACCAGAAGGGATATCACTGTCTAGCATGATGGCAAAGAAACTGTTCGGGTACCGCGTCAGGGTGTCCCGAGTTGTCAGGTAGATCTTACCGCCAAGGCGCCAACATTTAAACCAATTTGATTGTCAGATTGCCGTGCAGAATCCATCTTTCTTTTTAGTGGTAGCATTTTCTACTGGTACCTCCTTGTTTAATGTTCGATCTTTTCGCTGCGACAGCCCGATAAATTCTTCTCCATATAATTCATACCCTCCAATATGCCATCTGCATCTGTATAACACGAAAGGGACACGAACACCAAGTTTAATACCCGTATTGGTAAGAGAATCATACCCGGTGTTTTATAACCCGCGCGCAATCTGCATCACGTGATGATGATGTACTTCGTTCTTGTTAATTATTAATTTTTCCGCAGCGACGGCTCGATAAACTACCCTGTGAATGCTTCCGCTCTGCACTTCGTGCCCTGAGCATATAATTTATGCGAGGTTGCAATATCGGGGAATCCCCACCGACTAGACATTACGTCATGCAACAACAATCCAAATCATCCCGCTCGGGCTGATCATGTGAACATTGTGTGATATCGAGCACCATAAAACCATGGACCTACGTACCAGGGCTGTCAACTTTGGGGAACTGCTTCGAGGAAGACCGTATGAATTGTTTGGGGGGCTCAACAGGGAAGGGGGAGGGGGTGTTGAGTAAGAAGGAAAAAAATTGTACACTATACTGTATAAGAAAGGAATACATTTTGTATTGTTGTGATCCCATTATTGTATGTGAATCGGTAAGTTGAGTGTGACTGAAAGGGATATAGCTCTCCAGTGGGTACTCATTATAAATAGCTCTTATACAATGATATGCATGTACCTATATGATATAACAAGATTTAACAATTCATGTTTTCATGGTCCCAAACTCCCAATGGCCAAGTTATAAAATGTTTCCACTGTAAACTAAATTATCATCCATTCCAGTTTCAGCAACATTTCCTTCAGGATCGACTAGCACACGTTGCTACAGGTTCTCCCCAGTTATTAAGTTCGAAAAATAATTATAGTAGGCCTAAATGTACATATTGAATTCCAGTTGTTTGGTGTTTAACCGAATGTTATAGTTGTCATACAATACAGTACATCACACTGAAATTATTAATTTTCCAATATGAAATTCCCATTTAATGATTTCAAATTAAAAAATATCACTTTCATATTTTAACGTAGAAAGAAACAGAAGATCAAAATGACTGATCATCAATAGGAGTACTCTGAAATCATTGCAGAAGAAGGTAATAACACAGCACAATCTTACTTTGATATCATGTTCTTTCTTTATTATCAAATGGATTGTCCACCATGATTGATTGCAATTGATATTCGATAACGTTACATTATCAATCAGTAAATATTCTTATTTATTCATATTAAACATATATATTCAACACTATTAATTCATCTTCTACAATCTCCGTATATATTCAACAGTATTTCCACCAAAAAAAATTCCCATTCAATTTTTGTTAAGAGCACTTCCATGCAAATGTATAGATAAAACTACATGGTCCAACCAACGATTGTCATTTTGTCCAAGGAGTGCTTTAGCCCACAGATCAATTAGATATGTAGGTCCTGACATTTGGAACGCTTTGCCACAGGAAATACGAACTTGCAATAATCTTGTGTTATTTAAAAAAAAACTAAAGGAATTATTTCTCTCCAAATATGCTTGTTAACTTTTGAGGCACATTATGTTTGTGCTATTTTTTGTCAAGAAGAGGTACATTAAGGGACATGATTTTGTATTTTGTTTTATTTTTGTAATTACAGAATGCCTTAATTTAAGCCATGTATTATTTAAACCTAATAATTACCAGCTATTATCTTAGGGGCGTTGCGCTTCAAACATTTATGTTTATGCATTGTTCCTACTATGTATTATTATTATATATTGTAACTGACTTTTATTATCTGTAAACAGTTATTTTACATGGTGAAAAAATAAAACAAACAAACAAACAAAATGAAAATCATCTTATCACAAAGTACTAATGAAATGCTAAATACAGAGAGATATATTAAATGCACATTTTCCCATGAAGAATGCTGAATTTGCTTCATTGCAATATTTATGTTCACTTACAACATACAACATGTAAGCAGCTGCGTAATAATGGAAAGAAACATGGAAGATATTTCAGATTCAGGAATCTTTTTTTTTAATGCTATTTTTGCTTTATTAATGCTAAATTTGTTTCATGATCAATTTCTCTTCTGCATGAATATATTTACAAGGTATTTTATTATAATATACTTACTGTATTCTTTAAAATAAAAAAAATATTCTTCCTGAAATTATGTTGATATTATACAACACTTACAATTGTCTTAAAGATAAGAAATTTACATGATACGCACCGTGTAGTTATTTAAAGAGAACAAATGACATTTTACGTACATTCTCAAATCTATCATACCACAAGTTTTCACTCTGTCTGTTCTTATACATGTACTTACATGCATAATGACAAAAAAGTGAAAAGGCAAAATGTGTAAAATTTGTTCATTAAACGATCTATCCACTCTTGTTGAAGCTGTTTATGCAACTATCGTACAAAGTCATCTGAGGCTTTGTACGATAGATGCATACCGTATAGCCACAACTCAAGGGCGGATAGATTGTATATCGTATAACTCATGCACATGCATCATTTGTATAATAAACCATTGTCATAATCAACCTAGCAACCATTCTACAACATCTCTCTTTCGTTGCACATAAAACCCTGCGCACTGGAAACATCTATACCAACATCAACCCTGCAACCCAATTCACATGCCTGCATCTCAACAGTATGCATGTACATATAGAGTACCGAAGCTGTGACGTCATCAAAATCTATTTTTAGAATTTCTCAATTTTTTCTTCATTTTCCGAAAGAACATCAAAAATAATGTCCAAATGTCGAAAACCAATTGAATATGTTAAATATTGGCTGAGATATGACCATCTGAATAAAGATACTCCCCATAGGAACTCAGTGTTATATGCTCTGGCTCCTAACCATTAGGAGCCAGAGCATATAACACTGAGTTCCCATAGGACATATATTCATTCGGATGGTCATAACTCAGCCAATATTTAACATATTCAATTGGTTTTCTACATTTGGACATTATTTTTGGTGTTCTTTCGGAATATGAAGAAAAAATTGAGAAATTCTAAAAATAGATTTTTGATGACGTCACACTTCACCACTCTATACAAAGACACTAATCATATACACCAGCAATGCAGCATAATAATCACATACCTCAGAATATTGGAATTTGATAACTTTGTACAATTTGGTAAATTGCTTTATAAAATGAAAAGAGAGAACCTCTTCATATTCTGGATATACAGGTGTACAGACATAATTGTGGTACACAAATTCAAGATTTGGTTTGCTGTGCCACTAACAAAACAAGAAGAGGTTTAATTGCTACATGTACATGTAAATGATCAACTTGGGGGTAGGGGGGGGGGGGGGGGAGGGGGCAGCCCTTTCTATGGCCACTACAGAAAAGGCCTAACAATTGTCTTACAACATAAAGTATAACAGTTAAAAATTTGGAACAATTTGGCACCTACTTTGTTAAAAGGATTGAAATGAGAAATGGTCAAGTTAAAAAAATTCAGCTGCTGCTATTACTTAGCCTGATACAGTCAAACCTGCTTTAATGACCACCTGTCTACAAAGGCCACCTGTCTACAAAGGCCACATTTGTTATTTCCCTTGAAAAAGTTTTCTTATTGAAACATGTACTAAAGGAACCTGTATACAAAGACCACCTGTCTACAAAGGCCACTTGTTGTGTTTCCCTTGGGCAGTCGTCATAGACAGGTTTGACTGTACGACCAGACCATTTGAACATACACGGTATTTACACTGTACATGGCATTTATTTCAGATTGCTGCTACAAACTGTCTTTACTTTACAATTTATTTTCACTCCCAGCCACTCAAAATGTATCTGATGTGTATCTATATTTACTTCACACAGCTAGGGAATGTTCTTACCGTTTATATTCAATTTTACAAATAAGACACATATATTGCAGTCATATTGGCTTGACGAAATCTTCATAATGCTTAGGATAATACCATTATCATCATCCCTATTATCATCGTAAGTGTCATCGTCTCCATCATCATCATTCATCATCATCATCATCATCATCATCATCATCATCATCATCATCATCATCATCACCACCACCACCATCATCATCATCATCATCATCATCATCATCATCATCACCACCACCACCACCATCATCATCATCATCATCATCATCATCATCATCATCATCTTCATCATCATCATCATCATCATCCTCCTATTCCTCATCATCATCATAATTTATGTATAGGTTCTCTCAATACTCTTCTTCTTCTCACTCCATTATATTAAGCCAACTCCTGATTTTAAACCATGCATGCATCTTTCCATCTTCACCGATGCAATCCATCCATCTTTTCTCCCTCTCAATGTTTATGCTGGCAAATGCACACGAAAGGGTTTCAAGATAACGCCAAAGTTATCGATAGTATAAAATTCGGAAACCTCGTGGTACAGTAGGCATTACAAGGAGATGATGAGATCGGTCATTTGCTGTATATCCTCTTTGTTCTTCTGGATATAACACTGCGTATCAAAGAGCATCTTTGAGAGCACATGATCCCTCGTCTCATCCATTGAGATCTCCTGGCTCAACGGAGGGCTGAAGCGGAAGAACGGCGTGCCGATCGAGAAACACCAAGCCCTCGCTCGGTCAACAGCACGCATTCTTGATTCAGTGACCTGGACAGGAATAGTTTGATAAATGAAAAAATATGAGAAGTGGTATCATTATTATTATTATTATTATTATTTATTCGGCGTAAACAAAGAAAATCATTGAATACAAAACAAAAGTACGTTTGGACAAAGAGTCACATGGATGCTGGGAAGAGAAAGAGATTAACTAAATAACTGCGTTGTCT